TTTTTAAAGATAATATTCTTATACTAAAAAATAAATATAAACAGATCAAATTAAAAAATAGTAGTAATCCACTATTTAATTACTATTTTGATAACAATTTATTTTTAGATATTTTTCAAAATATTCTAACAAAAAGTTTTTCCGGTGCGTACTACGTCCACAGATGTAAAAATACTTACTGGTTTAGGGCAGGCACGACAAAACACAGTCCGTTCTTGAAGAATAAGTTCAGGAAAAGGTTTAATCCATTAATTAATTTGAGTTATCTTCGACATATTGATACACCTGTATCCCTTTAAATGCTTTCAATACAAACTCACGATGAAAAATAATAATAGTATAACGTCCCTTCGACCACCACTAAACTTACCATTAATACACTTAACTAACGAACAAAAATATTGGGAATGAACGGTATTTCCAAAAGGAATTAGGGCGCGAATTTACCTGGAAGGATGGCTTAACACCCAGTGGTGTCTCCAAACTACCATAAAACCCAAACCTTTTCTAGTTATTTGAAGCTTAGGACAATATTTGCAATATGATTCATAAAATTTCGTCTTTCTAAATAAATGCCGATAAAATGAAAATTTTTTTTTTTCATATTAGCACAAAAATTGATAAAAATGCAAAATATGCACCCGTTCCGTGAAATATGCAGCAGAAGCCAAATATATGGAAATATGCAATTTTTTTATAGCTGTATTCATTTTAAATTAGCATGATTCGTTCACATATCAAATATCAAGACATATGCAAAAAATAACGGATATGCAAATTTCATAAAATCCGCTCTCTAATAATAAATGTTTAGTCAAAATATATTTGCTTATCCCCTCCAAAAAATCCTATCTAGAATCTTCAAAATATGATGAGTCTGTACTTGTAATTTATCATCCCCTTCATATTTTTTTTATTTGCATATACCGGGTGACTGAAAAAAAAATGAATGCGTAAATTTATTTTATTGATTTACTCAGGAACTACAAATCTGAACTTCTGGGGTAAGCCCAAGAAATGCTACTGAAACATGTGTGCAACTACTAATGAAAATAATGAGACGTAATAAGACGTAATGTCAAAACCGAATGCTTTAAAATCTACTGTGAAAAAAAAAACATAATAGGCCTGCAGTCGTCACGTTTCAGACAGCGAGGGAAGTACTGTCTAAACTCTTTAGACCAATTTTTTTTTATGTATAATATTATTATAATAATTACTTATGATATGTCTATATGATAAATAATTAAACAATTGACAATACATGGATATTTACTTTAATTGATCCAACCATCATCATTAATTATCATTTTGTCAAAAAATATATACAAATGCGACATATTTTTGGTTTTATAATTTAAAAAAAGAAAATTAATGACTTCGCCGCGTATACGTGTTTAATTTATATAAATTGACAACGCAAAGTTAAGACCGCAACCGTGCATCCCTGGGTCGACGCACTCTTTTTTTCTCTCTCGTTTATCTTTGTTAATTACATATATGTATATTAGTTTTCTGGTTTCGCTTATCGACACCGTCTACAGAGCCCTGGGCGGGAGCGTTCGTCATATTCTGGCCTGCCCTTTGTGGGTTTAATTATCAATTATCAAGTTAGTGAAAGTAGTAGGAAAGGTACTTGGCGATAAAACACTCAAGCAAACTAAAAGATTGGAGTTGCGGTTTTTGGAGTGCCCCTTCTTCTTTAGAGTAGAATAATTTATCTAAGATTGTTGAACTACTTAGGGAATCCACTAGTAAACTCCCAGAATCATTGCATAGTATTTTTTCAGATTTCACACAGGCAATTTCTTTGCAATTCAATGCGTTCAGTGCTCAGTTAACTGATCTAAAAAAAACGAATGGTGTACTCCAGAGTGAAATTTCCAGTTTAAAAGAAATATTTTCAGGAAAAAACGTTACATTGAGTTCTTCACCAATATATATTATGCTAAAGCACCAAATTCTACAACTAAAATCATTGTTATACCGAAAGACGCTAAGCAAAACGTTTCTAAAACAAAGTTCCATTTCTCACCTAAAATTAATCCTGATAATTCTGGTTTTGAGATTTCTAAAGTTCTAAGAATGGTGGATTGGTACTTGACTGTCATAATTCTTCTGAATTTTAAAACAATGGCTTTAAATAAACTACAGAAAACTTCGCAAAGTACCCTTTTAACGCGTCTTCGTATTACTGAATTTTCTAATGATATCAGCAAAGATATTCTTGTTTGTTATCTAACCAAACAAAATAGACCTATTTTCTCTAGCGACAGTCATTGCAAAATTGTGAAATACAGTCCTTTAAAAAATAAATCAGATTTATTTCAAGTGATTTTGAAAGTTGACAAAATTACATATAAGAAAGCTTTAGATGTCTTATCGGCTTAAATTGTCCAACAGACAAAAACGCCTAAAAGGATGAACGAAAAATTGGAAATCGAAATTTCGAGAAACTCAAATCGAAAAATAAAAAATTAAAAAATTCCAAAATTAAAAATTTCCAAAAATTGAAAAACGAAAAATTTAAACCTGAAAACTCGAACAATTCCAAATTGAAAACCTGAAGAAAAAATGAAAAATTGAAGATTTGAAAAACTGAAAAATCAAAAAATTGCAAACTCCAAAAATTGAAATTTCCAAAAGTTGGAAAATTGAAAAACTGAAAAATTTAAAAATGAAAACTTGAAACATATTTGGCATATCGCAAAACTGAAGAAACAACATCAGGAAAAATTGCAAAAAAAAACAAAAAAATATTTATAATCAATTATAAAGGTTGATCTAGAAAATCTTATTTCTTTACACTTCTTTTCGTTAATTTTTTATTTATTTTGCGGACACTTGGTACTAAAATATTCTAAATCCGTCTACAAAAGATCGCAGTCGTTAATGGAACTAATGGATTGAGCATTTGTATATGCAAAAGTAGGACAATTTAATTGCAACAATGCATCATTAAAATATATTATAAATAAGATAGACCTTAAATTTGATCCTTTCGTAACAGCACTAAAAGTTACGTAAACTGATGAGCGAAAATCACGTTATTCAACATACTGACTACAATTAATTAATACTAACCTAAACAAGTTTAATAGATTGTTACGTAAACCAAAGCTGCTTACCTTAAGTAAAGTGTAGTGATTAACAGCGTCAAAGACTTCAGACAAATCCGTGTATGTAACGTCTACTTGTCTTTTACGTTCAAGAGAATTAGAAATAAATTGAACGATTCCGCAAGATTTGTCGATGTATATTTACATTTTTTCGTGAAACCTTGTTGACTTGGATTTGTCTGATTGGACACATGGCTATATACAATTTTTACTAAAATACTTTCAAATATTTTACAACAGTTTGAAATTATTGGTATAGGCCTATAGTTTTCTATGTCGTTTCGATTACCAGATTTGAAGACGGGGATGACTATGTCGTATGATTAAATTGATAAGATGACACAATAGATTACACAAACAAAAGATACCACCCTTAACAAAAAAAGCTGGCACATTATCTAGATCCATGGTATAGTTAGATTTAATATTTTTGGCAGCACGAAAGATTATCACAAGTATTGATCACGAAATTGTGTAAAATGTTGATTCCTATATCACAGATTTTATCACAGTCAAGGGAACTATTACAGAATGTATCACCAATAAAAATGGAGCTGAAATGAGTTGACGATATCCTGAGAAGCAGTCAGCTCTATATGGTACATCATGTTGCCAGGTATACTGTGTTGTTCTTCTTATGGTTAATATATGACAATAAATTTTTTAGGTTTTTATTAATGTTAGTTTCCGCTGTAGTTTTTGTTTAATACAAGACACAATAATTGATGTAAACTAGAAATATAGTCGTTGAAGACACACCACGTCCTGCAGGTCCAAAAACTACTAGTGAGGATGATTAGACAAATGTTGGTTAGTGTTTTACCGTCTACATGATATTCCCAACATAGAACGTGCATATAAAATTTAGCAAACATCGGTCTGCCGAAAAGACGACAAACAGCCGAAAACGGAAAACCTACTTTTTCATACTCTAGGGGTCATTAAACATCAAAGTAGCCATTCGTTTGACAATACGCCCTTGGTTTACGCTTGAAAAGTAAAAACTTATGAATTTACGTTTCTCATTTAACAAACTTTTGATCAACTGCCCCACATCCTGCAAAATACGACGAAGTTGCTGGATCCAATTGAAAACCGACGGACAACGTATTGAAAAACATTGAATGTAAATAATTTCTTGTAGATTTAAAATTATTGCGGTGTGTAAGTTTTAACTTCCGACCTTTTTCATAATTGACATGTTGTAACTAAAGTTACAGAATTGACAAGGTGTAACATAATACACAAAATATTACAGAATAACAAATCACAATAACAGTTTAATTTGCGCAGGAATAAATTAAAATGAAAACTGTATTTAGCCACCAAGTTTAATAGTTAGTTAGAATATAAATTTAGAATAAAACTTAGATGTGTATTGTCCTTGCCATTTCTAATGAAACACCACATGTTGATTTTGCTTAAAATTTAGCAATTGGTAACAGTTTTCAAATTAGTTAGAAAATTGTCTAAAAAAATCGATTAACATTGCCAAATTTACGACTATAGTACTTAGCTATTTGCCAAAGTGAAAGAACCACCAACTCTGCATTCCAGCTTCAAAATAGTGCCGACAACACCGGAGCATTAGATTTGAAGTTTGACATGGGGAAAAAAGGACTTATTACTTAATTGAACCATTTTGGATATTTTAAGCTGGTTAAAGTAATGTCTAATGTGCATGACTGAAAATTAAATATTTACGTTTGTAGATATTTCGTCTACCGTAAATGCAAATGTTATAGTTAATTTATAATTTACAACCTTGGTTTAGTGGTATTTAAATTAACGCCAGGGCAAACGCATGTCTGGACAAAGTGGTAACCTGTCGGTAAATGCAACTCCTGAAGCTCGGAGCTGTCAAACATCTGTCATCTGTCAAATCAAATGTCAAACAAAGCACCGGTTTGTAAAAACGACGCTTCCGTTTTGGAAAGAGTGTTAATTAAAACAGTTATTGTATACTTAATATTGTGGTAAATGAGATAAAAAGTTTTAAATAAAAAGAAAGAACACTCAAAATGGCAAATGGACCGATTGCTGAACGCAATAGAGGTAAAATTCTCACCTAACCTAAAAACACCTGAATTGACTTTATAATTTTTACAGATGCCACGATTTATGTTGGTGGTTTGGACGATAAAGTCACCGAGTCTCTACTGTGGGAACTGTTCGTACAATCGGGTCCACTAGGTAAAATTTCTAAAATATTGTTCACACAATTTCATTTATTTTTCCAAATTTCATAGTGAACGTTCACATGCCCAAAGACAGGGTAACAATGATGCACCAAGGTTATGGTTTCGTAGAATTCATGGGAGAAGAAGATGCCGATTATGCCATCAAAATAATGAATATGATAAAGCTATATGGAAAACCAATACGAGTAAACAAAGCATCAGCTCACCAGAAAAACCTTGATGTTGGTGCAAATATTTTTATAGGTAATTTAGACCCCGAAGTAGATGAAAAGCTACTCTATGACACATTCTCAGCGTTTGGTGTAATACTTCAAACACCCAAGGTAAGTACCAACAAAGAAACTTCGATTGTTTGTAAACATTCTATTGTTGTAGATAATGAGAGACCCAGACACAGGCAACTCCAAAGGCTTCGCCTTCATCAACTTCGCCAGCTTTGAAGCCTCTGACGCTTCCATCGAAGCCATGAATGGACAATACTTGTGCAACCGTCCCATTTCAGTCTCATATGCCTTCAAGAAAGACTCCAAAGGCGAACGCCACGGTTCCGCCGCCGAACGTCTCCTAGCTGCCCAGAACCCACTGTCCCAAGCTGACCGCCCGCATCAGCTCTTCGCCGACGCGCCGCCAATGGGCATGATGCCCCCAGGCATGACCCTAGCCCCACCCCCACCACCTGTCATCCTCGCAGGCATGATGCCACCTCCGCCACCCACTCCAGCGGCAATGCAGCCGCCGCCGCCACCTCCTGTCCCACCACCAAACTCGTTCCCCTCTGGTATACCGCCTCCACCTTTACCTCCCTCCCAGCCCCCTCTGCCCCCAGGCGCGCCACCACCACCCCCAGCAACATCTGCCGGGGGCGCTCCAAGGCCTCCTCTACCTCCAGCATCTTCGCAAGCACCGACGGGAGCGCCGCGGATGATACCGCCCCCGTGGCAAGGAGGAGCAGGAAATTTGCCGCCGCCACCACCGGGGCCACCGAGTTCCGCTCCTCCGAGTTCTACAGCTCCACCTTTTACGCCGTTCCCGCCGCCGCCTCCTCCAGGGGGCAGGCCTCCGAATTGGCGTCCGCCGGTTAATTTTGGGGGGCCGGGGAGACCGCCGTTCCCGCCAAGAGGGCCCCCGCCACCGCCTCCGAGCAATTTTACGGAAAATAACTGGTAGATTAAGATGTGTGTTCAGATGTTTATTAATAAAGTGAAAGTTTATTGGAATGTTTTTATTATAAAATCATTAGCACGAAAGAAGAGTTTTTGTAACTACAAAGGAAGACAAACAACTTCATGAATTCCAGATATCACAATTTTAATGCTTTAAAGGGTATAAATATTTAAATATTACAAATGAACTGCAAACACTACCTTCCGCCTCTTTCTTTATTCTCGTTTTTCCTATGTCCTGAAGGTTTTTGAAATTTTCTGTTGTTGTCTTTGCGATTTTCGTTTTTCTCAAAAGGAATTGTAGATCCGGGGGCTTGATATCTATAAAAATATGGTTAAAAAATGATAACACAAAATGATAAGCCCATACCCCAACTCTTCATTGTTTAAAGGCTCCAATGATAAATAAATATGAATCATAGGTAAATTCCTTTTAACCACCAACTGGTCTAACTCTGGAATAACTGGGTCCCAATATTCCTCAACACTAGAAAACTTTACTACATCATCTCTTAATAAATGTGTGATTCTTACAGTCTGTAACACAGCTTTGTTATCTGATACAATTTATTTTCATATTCACGTTTCATTAATTCTGCACAAGTGACTGCTTTCCCAACAGACTGGCCAAATCCTGTCCAAACCACAGATTTGGCATTAGGAAATTCGTTCAATGCATGAGTTAGTAGATTCCTAATTTTACTGCCTCCTCGTACCTGCAATAAGATCAGTTCATTTCCTATTTTACATTAAACAAATTCAATACGGTTATATAACGCTACACCAAAAAAGAGACAACATTTCTGGACAACATGTACTCTATTATTTTGAAACACTAATAAAATACCTGCATCCATAAAAAATTGGGTGGAAGATTTGGTATTGGGATCTTATCGCGTTCCAGAGGCTCTTCCACATTTTTTCCTTTGTGATAATTTTCCATGTTACAAAAATGTGTGGAAAACGTAGAAACAAATTTTCCTGAATTCTAATGCATACATTTATTTATTGCGAAAAACTAACTTGAGAAAACTGCACTCAGAACTACATCATTTAAGTGAGGTTATATTTGGACAGTTAGTGGCACAGGTTAGTGGTTTTTACAGGATTGCCAATTGAGTAAATACCAGCACAGGTCACCTGCAAAAAAATATATGCACAATATACGCAGCGACCAAGGTGAAAATAGGTATGATATATTAAAACAAAAAAATTTGGCTTAAATTCGTACGGATAATTTTTTAATCTGGCTAAGTTTCTAAAATTGTAAATAGTTGTACAGTTGGTTGCCTATACATATACTTCATCACAGTATACGTGTTGTAGATATCAATTGATGTATATACTCTGACTTCATTTCTTCATTATAGAAAAAATATAATCACTATTTCAAATCTACATAGCTATTGACATTTCAGCATATAGCATCGTTCCAGGTGTATAATAAACACCAATTTTTGATTTTGATAAAAAAAGTGAGGATTATCTTTTGGATAACAGATATGAAAAACGGTCATTATTTATTTTTTTGGAATGATTTACTTCCGATTGGCACCCATTATTAAAAGTCTAAAATTATACTATTTTCATACTCTCCTGTTATGGGCACGTTTTTTTTTCTAAAAGATATTAAAACAATTATAGTGTTATTTGACTGCCTAGCCAATGTTTTCAACAATAATTATAAGTATCTTATCTACAGGATGTTATTGAAAGGTACGTACAACAAAATTGACAGTTCTTCGCGAAGCCTAAGAAGTCTGAAAATCTTATTTTGTGTTATCAAAATTATAAGGGGAAAATTAACCCTTATCCAACCTTTTTAGACGCTACTGAAGGATAAATAGGTAAAATTAATTTATTTTAGTAAATCCTAGCAACTGTAACAATAAAACTTTTGTCAAGACTAAATATTGCCATAGAAACGAGAGATGATCTTTTTATCAGAGGCGTACAACAAATTTGGACATAAATTGTAATAATTTTTATCTCTAAAAGGAGAACACTTTTAACTGAACTTTTTTTAACTTTTGGCACCCATACCTCGAGACCAATTGTCGATTTTATTATGTACGTACCTTTCAATAACACGCTGTATACAATTCAGCAATTAACGGTGAAGGACTGAAACTTCTTTATAATTTGCTGATTTTTGTGACTTTTGCCTGGATTCTGTGCCACAACTATTGATCTGAGAGAATGGTTTTTCCAAGCATTTAGTACTCATACAATAGAAAATGTAACGATAAATATAAGAGAAATATATGTTATAGCAGAAAAAAAATTTTCAAATATGCAAATATGCAAATTTTCAAAAATAGCCCTGTGATAACCCAAACTTCCCGCCTTAAATTGACCTTGAAAAAGTTTGAAAGGCCCCCGAAAAATTCAAAAATTAAAAAATTGGCCTTGGCTGTGATCGTCCAGCGAATGGAAACCTACATTACGTTTTTTTTGTTTTGAAAAGTGTTTCATACAAGTGAGCATATACTGCGTGTGAATTGAGAGCGCAAGAAATAATAGACAAAATTTTGGGGAGAAGGCAAAATCGCTTCCCTCTCTAGGAGGAAAAGGAGCTGCGAGCGAGGGCGACACGGGCTTGCCATCTAGCATTCACTCCACAGCCCCAAAAACACCCTCTGGTTTATTCACCCAAAAGAGACAAACCGCGAATTGACGGACGTACACATATGGGAAACCGATCAAGTATAAAAACCCTACGTTTATGTTTTGAATCAATGCAAATATTTAAATACCACAAACTTAATAAAAACTAAGCAAAACCTGAATAAAGTAACTAGATGCAAATACACAAATTATTACAGGCGTGTGGCGGCAAATTTAAAATTACGGCAGTCACAAGAGGACAAAAAAATACACATAGGGCGTTCTAGAACAAGCGAAGTTTGGGGCTACCGGTTGGGGCTGTTCTCCCCCGAAAACCACATCTCCATGACGAACATGCCTTACTAACCAGGCCGTTACGGTCAAAAACTGTTGATTGGAATGTCAAGGCTATAAATAAGCTGACAGCCTCACATCGTCCAGACCGTTCCCACTGACTCTATACAAAGCCTGCACCCTTGTGCAGATGGCGCGCCCTCCGCTTATGACACGTGTTTTGATGTTCTTTAACCTCAGTTCCATTTAAATTTTCAATTTCTTATGACTCTAATATTATCGACAACTAAACAAGTGTTAAAGTTTCACCAAAAAAACAACATTTAAATTCGCCATACAATCTTGTGGAATTTTAAACAACAAATACTTCTTATCTGAGCTTAAAATTGGACATCAGAGATGGAAACATTCATCAACAAAATATTTACAAAACAAAACTAGCAAAGATTTATAAAAACAAAAGATCTGGTGTGAAATAAACTTGTGCAAATAAAAATATTATGTGAGGTTAAAACTGCAGCACATAATATTTACGTTCAATGAAAATTATACAACAAAGGAAAATTACTGAGGTTAAAACTGTGAGATAGAGAAATATTGTATGAGGTGAAAAATTGCAAAGTTAACAAAATTTACATGAGATTAATACTTGCCACACTTTATCAACGATTCAAAAAAAGAGTTTACATTATGTTAAATTATATCATGATCCAAGTGATGGGTTACTTTAAAAAAACAATTTACTTTGAGAGTTTAGTATACCGTGAACTGGTTACCCCAACAAGACACATAATAAATAAACACAAAAATATCCGATCATCGTTGCTAGGAAAAAGCATCTCGGTGATATAAATTTTATAGTTGCGAGGAATTGCCTAGATGATGTATATTTTAGCGGTGGGAGGAATAAGCCTCGTTGATGTTTTCAATCTCTATCGTTGTGAAGACAAGCCTCGATGAAGTAATCAACCTGTAGCGCTGCGAGAAGATGCCTCAGTGATGTACTCAATCTTTAGCGTCGCGAGGACTTGCCTCAGTGATGTAATCAATCTTTAGCGTTGCGAGGACATGCCTCAGAGATGTAATCATGATAACGATGATAATAACGACGATAACGGCCTAAGGCAAAAATTATTTTAACCCCCCGCCAGTTCACAGTATAATGAATTTTGTTAATTTAACTGCCGTAAATGAATTATTAGCAATGTTGTGTGAAGAATTATGAAGTGTTATAATGTAACATTTACGTATATGCATCCAGAAACTTATTCGTAACTTATTAAACAAAGAATTGTTATCCTGACTAAGTGAATTTCATGAAATCTTCTAGCAAGTGTTTTATTTAAATAATCCTGATTGTTAAATTGTGTTAGCACTAGCTGACGAATAAGAAAAACTAACTTGATTGGTGAATTTACAAACAATAAAACAAATTTACAACACATGGTCCGCGTCGAAAGATCGCATGTTTTTTCGACTAAAAGCCGCAAGAATTAGCGTGTTTTTCCCCCAACACAGAATAACGTCATCAGAATTACGATTGATTGTCGTTAAACAAAGGCTTCCTCCCTTTCATTAACTACCAAACCAACAAATTTAACCTAGCTACTTACAGCGTCTTTCCACCATGCACCCGCACGTCACCTAACCAAAAAAAAAAATGGCCCACGCTTTCAACATGCCGCTCTCCCCTACCAAGCCGTCCTCTCATAACCAACCCTCTAATTAACAAGCAGAACTACCAACTATCGTGAAAAGAACTAAACGTGCACAAGGAATACGTTTAACGATTTGTCGATTGAATTGTTTTTTCTTTCTAATTAAAATTATTCAAATATGATTTCGCGCCGCTGTTAATTAATTTCAGCGCGAAAATTTGATTCAAATTGGGTCACCACAGCCCACTTTGCCCCCTTAAAATCATTATTTTGGGGAAAAAACAAAATCTAAAACGTTTAGAAAATACAGTTAATATGTTCGTCTTTTAACGCCATTTAATCCTATTTTAAGTAGCCTTAGGAAATATTTAAAAAAAGTTATAATGCAGACCAACTAATTTCTAAAAAAAACGAAAAAAATTTCAGCAATATTATTTATTAAAAATAAAGTACATAACAGGTATTTTCAAGAAGTACATCAAAACTTGAAAATAATCTTTGTACTCCGTGCACTCAAAGGTAAAATAAAAAATATGAACTAAGTCTTCATGTGTAGGCCATTTCTATCTGTCCACTTCATGAAAAGTGAGGTTGCTTACCCTGCCATGGGTATTTTGTTGACAGCGACAAGATTTAATGTTCTATTGAATATTATTTACTTATCAAGCGAGTAACTTGAGTTAGTGCGTTTTGTTAAAACAAAATACAAAATTTTTAAAACCCACGAATTTGTAACCAAAGATTGGCAACAGCCAAATTGACATTTGTGTTTTGTGTATTTGTCAGCTGCCTCGGTTAATCAGTTGAGAATTTGTACATTTTATTTGATTTGAAAAAATAGAGGGACAACTTTATCACATGAAAGTCACTATATTTGACACTTTTTGGTGATTTTGCCCTTACAGACGTGGCGCCTCTAGCGATACAAAGTGGCAGTGGAATACCCTTTTAAAAGAATTTGACGTTTTACCTTCAATCCAATTTTCATGCATTTTTCCCTAAAATCAGAAAAACATCTTCGACCTAGCAAATTTTCCACTTTTTTTACACACACGGTCGATAGCATCATGAATAATCATTATATATTGTTGTTATATTGTTACGATTTATTTCTCAGTAATACAGAGCCAGAGTATGGGGAGAGAGTGTGACAAGGTTGTTGTGTCGGCTTTTAATCGGGAAAATAACTGAGTAGACCTGTGAACTATTTTGCGAAAAGTAACGAGAACTACTAAAGTAAGCAAGGGGAACCTAGTGGTAACCAAAGAAACAATAAGAACAGCAGGGGTGAGTTCCAACAAACATAACCTGTTCATGAAAACGGTGGAACCCTTGGTCAACAGAAACGGGCAAGTGGCGACATCGGTGAGCTAGACACCTGACCAGTGTGAGGGTGGGCCAAAATCTGAACCGAGTAGGAAATTGGCAAAACCACTCTCGCAACGTCCGGTGCTCAAGCAATAGAGGACGCGCCTAGCTGGGAATCGGTGTCAACCCCACCTGTCTGTTCTGACCATCTGACGAAAATCACAACCAA